AAACTCGTCAGATGTGTAGTAAAAAATCCAAGGTGTTATACAAAGACCGTGCTTTTGAAAATTTAGGTCCTAAACTTTTTAATGAATTACCTCTGTCTGTTCGTTCTAGTCCTTCAGTAGACATTTTTAAATCCAGACTGAAAACGCACTTATTTAAATGTGCTTTTAATATTTGACTGATTGTTTATTGTATCAGCGCCTTTGATCTTCATGTGTTGGAATTGTTGCGCGTAATTAAATAGAGTTATTATTATTATTATTATTATTATTATTATTATTTTACATATAATACCAATACTATTAAGCAAGCTTGTAATTATGAACACTGTAGTGCATATGTAAAAAAGGACAGTATGTTATTATTCTCACCAAGTGTCCTTTACTTGATGACTGTTGTGTTGTTTTTCAGCGAAAACCACGAAGTAAAAGTAAGAGTTTATTTGCTGATGAAGATGTGTTGTTTGGAGGGAGTGAGGAAGCACCAGATATTGATCTGTTTAGTCCTTCAAGTCCACTGAGTCCTGATAAGGTGTGTAATTGTAATCATCATGGTATTATAAATTACATCAAACTGTTACAGTATCAGTACACCACCTTTTTACGTAACAGTTTATCTGTAAAATGGGCTTAAATATTTAATCGTATCAGTTACTGTAACTGGTTCTCAGAGATGACTGGGTCTATTTCAATCTAACTTTAATGGTTTGATGACATATACACATTTGGCTGCAAGTGCAGGTTTTTTTGGCCCCTGTCTGTCGCAGCCTGAAATGGGTCTAGTAAAATAAGTGGTGTCTTAGCAACCAGTTCAAAGCATGATTTTAGTTCCATAGGACTACTGATATGGACTTTATTATTTTTACAATGGCTGTCAATGGTTGCTGGCCATACATCAACATTTCGCAAATGAAATAATAATACATAACAATTTGCCCAGCATGCAGCTAGAAACAGGAAGTGAGCACCCTCTAGTGGCCATAAACAGATACAGGTACTGGTTACCTGAAACATTTTTGGTTAATGCTTCTACTGAGAGAGTATATTCTAGAAATATATGTGATGGTATTCAAATTAAGCATTTATTTATTTATTTATTTATTATTGAATTTACATATCTCATTATTTATTTTACTAATAGCCTGTTGCGTCATCTCTAAAGAAAACAGAGGCTGTGAAAACCAAACCTAAACCTGCTGCTAAAGGATTGTTTGGTGATGATGATGACGATGATGACTTGTTTAGCATCACTAAAAAAGCTGCTCCGAAGAAGGAAGTAAAACAATCAAGACCGAGTCAGAAAGTTCAGAAACCTGCCACAAAAACAAAACAATCGTCTCTCTTCGGAACTGAGGATGATGATGATCTTTTTGGTGCTGCCAAAAAAGCAGAACCCAGAAAAGAGATTAAAAAAGACTCTCCAGCTAAAAATAAAATACCTGACACTGTCCCTGTGAAAGGGGCTACCACAACAGAGTCTTCGACTGACATTCTTGGAAATGAAAACGATGATGATATGTTTACTGTGAAAAAAGTAGAAACTACGAAAACTGAAAAAATTAAGGCACCTCTGGAGCAGGATGATGAAGAAGATGAACTATTTGGTGGGCCTAAAATAAAACCTGAAAAACCTGTGAAGAAGAAGATAGTTGAGAAGGACATTAAAACTGATAAATTGGAGAAGTCACCCCCTGTGAGTAACAGCCTTTATATATTGTTACAACTCTATATATACCATACATGTATCAGAGACTAGCATGGCCCTGGAACATGAATGCTAATGCATCTCTCAACACAGAGATCCCATGTGAAGTGCTTCATTTTAGTTTAGTATTATGATTTTATTTTTGTGTCACAAACCTTGTATTACTATACATGTTTTTCATTACCATATTTAATTTAATTTTATATTAATAATGTTAAATTGAGAAGAATACTTTCATGCTTTAGATGTTATTTTCTGGCTATAGAGGGCGACAGGGCTCTAGCACTTGACAACAGAAAATCTTTTCATGGTAGCAGGTCAAAAATCATTCTATGATTCTATGATGTCATACTTTACCCATAATCCTTTGCTTGAGAATCAAGATGGCTGACTACATAAATTGATGAAAAGTTGAATATCTAGAGAATTAAAAGTGATATGAAAAAACTGTAAATTGAGGGGTCATTATGTTGTTTGTCTTGACTTTTCCTTTAAAGAAAATCATATATCATTATTTACTTAAAAATCAAAGGTTCTTCTACCCAGCATATTGTTAAAGTGGATAGTTGAAACCTATTACCATGAAAAAACCTTCTGTTGCAATTTTTATTTTATTTTATATCTTGAAGTCATGTGATTCCAATGTCACTATAATGAACGCTGCTGTTTTTATAAAGAAAGGTTTAGGTTAAGACAGAATGTTCTTGACCTTTGACCCGAGTGTTATAATAATTGTAATTAATAATCACATATAAAATTATTACTCTATCATCTAATAATGTATAGCAAAGTAAAACTTTTGAATTGACGCAACTGCATTGTGGGATATGTACTCAGTCTGTAGTCTATTATCAGAGGTGACAGAAGGTACAGAGAAAACAAAAATATTGATCAGAAATCCTTTAAAGTCAATTTTTTTTAACCTATCACAAATTAAAACCTGCATAATTTTATTCATTTTTTTAACAAAATGTTGATTAAGACCTGTTGTCATTTGGTTCAAAGTTATCAAAAATAATATTTTCATTCTGCACAGAAGTTGTTGAGTTACTCTTGCCGAAAACATGCAGATACAATGTGGTCCATCCAAAAAAGTCTCATCACTCACTGATGAAATGTCACCATGACAGCAGCCATACTGATAATGTGTCACCATGACAACAGCCATATTTCTATCATCCTTGATCAGAGTTGAACAAAATCATACAAAGTGCTATGATTACCACAATTGAAATCCACCGCCTTGTTTCATTCATTTGTCATTTATTAAAAACTATCTACACTGTATATATGCTTAATAGGATGATGTAAAACCACCAATCTCAAAGGAGAAGAAGGAACCAGTACAACACAAAGGTAAATTGTTGTCATGACTACATGTGTTGAAGATATATGGGGTACCGGTATATGTTTTGATTGGTCAATTCATCTTTAAGTACATAAGATATGTATTTGTATTTGTTAATATTCATGTTAATATTCACGTTAATATTCATGTATGTTGATATGTGGTGAAGATCGATTTCTGCATTAATTGTATGTACACGTCAGTCAAACTCATTGTGATCATCATGGCATCACAGAATGCAAGAGATTTTTGGAAGTATTTGTTCAGGGTAATAGAAATGAGCGTACTGAATTACAT